TAAAGTCCTGAAACATTCCAGCACTTTCAGGACCTTGGACAGTTCCTTCAGTCCTTCACGGTGTCTAACGTCCTGAAACATTTCAGCATTTTCAGGACCTTGGATAGTTCCTTCAGTCCTTCACGCTGTAGTCCTGAAGCATTCCAGAACTTTCAGGACCTTGGACAGTTCCTTCAGCCCCTCCCATTGTTTTAACGTCCTGAAACAGTCCAGCACCTTCAGGACCTTGGACGGTTCCTTCAGTCCTTCACACTGTCTAAAGTCCTGAAAGCCGTTTTGCTTGAGTAAATGAAGGACATGTTCTCTGAAAACAGAGTTATATTAGAAAAGTTTAATGTATGAAGCCATTTAAAGATCTGAGAACACAGTTTCCTGCTGCTCTGATGGAGAACACAACATTCTGAAAACTTTCTTCTTCATGCTGTGAGACTTAAAGTTCGGCATATTTTTACAGGAGCTACTGCTGTTTCTACTGCGATGAGGTAATATCTTTATTTTTTGTTAAATAAATATTTCACTGAGACACATTTAGTCTGTTTGTTGGGTTTAAGTCCTACAGCGATCTGACTAAAGGTCTAACTTTCTTTGAACAAATGCATATTGCCCCATCAGAGTTTTAAACTAATGTCATCTGATGATGAGAAACAACAGACTTGAAGATGTTTTTGGTCAATTCTAAAACATAACATTATGCAATATTGAGATGTCCCTCAGAGATTTTAGAAGTTTCACTTCACTAACATTTCCATGTTTTCATCTTCATCCTTTGTTTTTATTAAATAACCTTTATTGTGCTATACAAGTTCAGTCCATTYCCCTCAGTGGGGAATCTATCTCTGCATTTTTYCTACTGCATGCTTGTGAAGCAGAGCTGCCATTTAAGGTGCCCGGGTGTTAAGCACAAAGTAGGACAAAATAATAATAATTTTTATCAGCCCGGGGAGTTGAACCGGCAACTTTCTAATCATTAGCGCACCTTTTGTAACCACTTCACACAGTTTTATAAATCAATAGATCTTGGAATATTCATTCATGCTTTTTATAATAGTCATATCATTACTTTTTGAGCAATAGAAATGAATACATTTGTGATTTGTAATTATTATTCTGTAAAACACAAMAGTGTTCAGTCCTGGTCCTCGAGGTTTCCCTGCTCTTCAGCAGCTCTACAAGTTCTGCAGAGTCCTTTTCCCTCATTCATTCAAGCCAGATGTGTCAAAGCATTGAAACTTCTCAATTATATTTTCAAATCAACAATAATCTTTGTRTCCAAGGTCAAACAAACTCAAGGATTAGAAAAAATCCTTGTACGAGATGTACTCTGCTTTCACACACTATTATGCTCAAATGTGAACTACTAGAAAGCAACACGAGGGGGAGCTGTACCAATRTCCACGTGGTTGGAACCTCATTTTTGAAAAAATGAAAAGGGAACCGGAAGTTGTTGGGGACGCTYGGTGGCTTCCAAAGATCGTAAAGAAAGAATAAYTCCGTAATACTTTCGCGTATTGTTGTTACTAAACTAATAAAATAKTARTCTAKATATAATYATTAAAACCGATAGCAGCATTCTAAACRCGTAAAAATTAAAAGACGTTTAGTTTCAACACAWATTAGTGTAAGGGYTTGTAGCTGGAATTTCGGTCAGAGTGAGCGCTCTTCGTTCAGCAAAGACTCTCTGTCCTCTTCTCTCACATCCTTTGATGGCAGCTCATTCGTTGACCGGTCAGTGAAAACAGAGGRGCTAATGTTGGATCTAATGAGATAACATTAGGTAGCGTGTTTGGTCCGACAKGGGGAAGCTAGCATGTAGGCGACTGTGAATATTACATTCGGTGGGTCAATGTCTGCGACATTAACCCTGAGAGTCAGAGTCGTAGATGCCCCGAGGTTCAACTCGACGCTCGTGCGAGGTTTGTATATTAAAATATCAGACAAGTCGCCAATTTTCTGCTTTAGTTAYATTTTCTGTAGTAGGAACGTAAGTGTCCTGTACAGTAACAAAAAGCTTATATATTTATGTTTTTGTTGATAATGTTTCACCCATAAAGAACAGGAGTTAGAATGGCATCAGATAGAGCAGCGTTTTGTCGCCCTCTGGTGGTGACTTTTGACCTGACAGGTCAGTTCAAACCAGGCAGACTTCTTCTCAAGTTACATTTTTTTGGGGAAAAGGTCATTTTACTGCTTTTAAAAGTTGAAATGCTCTGMTAGTTTAACTGGACTGAAGTAAAACGGCCTTTTACTATGATCCCATAGTCTTATCCAGTGCGAACACACTGCAAATTACATGAAAATCAGTTTTCCTTCAGGGAGACAGCAAATGACGTGCAATTACTTTTGTTTTAATGTTTAATTTGGAGTATTTAAATTATTTTTACTTGCATTTTTTARCTCTTGCACAGACCTGCTTACAGATGCTGCACTCCTGACCTTTGATCTAATCCCCACATGTTCCCACTTAAAAAAAACAAAAAAACTAATAACAGCACGGTTTTAACAAAAACAGTACTTTTGATTTTATTTTAAGAGATTGCTGAAAGAAGAGAACCTATCTGACCAGCATGGCTCCTCACCCAGTGGTCCAGGCCATCATTGATCTCTCTGCAGGAGCTATAGGTAATTTATATATATTTATACATATGTATAGTTGTGTGTGAACAGTTTTTTTCTTAACTTTCACAGGAGTTGCTAAAACTKATTTTTATGTTTTCAGCATTAATGACAGAGAATTGATGAAGGTAATTACGAAGSTGTAGCACTGTTGTAGCTATGTGTCTGACTTAGCAGGTGGTTTTGATGACTCTTGTCTTTTTCCAGCTCGCTTCTCTCCATTTGTGTTTATTTTGCAACAGTTTGCAAAGCTCCCTGATTCCTAGCTCCCTTCTGACACGTGTAGTTGACCTTCCTGTACAATATTTGAGCTGTGTTTGCATTCAGTGACTTATGGCTGTGACTTTAGGGGGAGCCGCGTGCGTCTTCAGTGGACAGCCTCTGGATACAGCGAAGGTGAAGATGCAGACCTTTCCCACCATGTACCGAGGCTTTATCCACTGCATCGTGTCAATCTACAAACAGGTGGGTGTACGTGGTCTCTACCAGGGCACCACTCCAGCACTGATGGCCAATATCGCAGAGAACTCCGTGCTCTTTATGAGCTACGGCTTCTGCCAGCAGGTCATCCGCTTCACAGCTGGACTGCACAAAGAGGCCGTGTTGAGGTAACCRGACTCTCCTAGTTAACATAAACCAACATGTCCTTGACTGGTAACAGCTGAGTATCCGTGTCTCTGTGGCAGTGACGTGCAGAAAGCCTGTGCCGGCTCAGTTGCATCAATCTTCTCCTCTCTGGTGCTCTGCCCCACTGAACTGGTGAAGTGTCGACTGCAAGCCATGCATGAAATGGAAGCGTCGGGCAAGATCGCCAAGAGTCAGAAGTAAGTCAAACTTGCTTGTTTGTTTGTCTGCCTGTTAACAAAATATCTTATGAACCTGGGGAAAGTAATCACTGGAGGAAGATCTACAACTGATTAACTTGTGGAGTCAACCCAAGTCAAGATGGCATTGATTGGTTTATCTGCTGTGATGGTCTTATATCTCGTAGAAAAAGGCAACATACAAAATACTTTATCTATCACATTCATACATACATGCATACATACATGCATACATACGTACATGCATGCATATGTACATTAGGGGTGTCCCGATAC